AAAAAAAAAGAAAAAGAAAAAAAGAAAAAACAAAAAAAAAAAAAGAAAAGAAAAGAAAGAAAAAGAAAAAGCCAAGAGGAAGAGACCTATCCCCTGTGTCCCAGCTTGCCACTCCTGGGCTGATGTGGGGGACCCTTGTGCTAGCCAAGAGGACAGGTGGGTGCTGGGGGCAGGCCTTGGCTAACATCAAATCTCCTGTTGTTACTCTGAGTCTTTGCCTTCCCCCACTTACAAGAGACTGAGAGCCAGGAACATGCCAGCAACCCAGCTCTCAGGAGACTTGAGTTCGAAGCCGGGAAGCGCAGCACAGACAGACCTTGTCTCAAAAATCAAATCTAAACAGAACAATCAGAATGCTTTGTGCAGGATGCCCATCTTGGTGAGCTCCCACCCAAGCCGTTTTGGGGAGTCAGAAGAGGTGTAAATGGCTTTGTGACAAAGGCCAGGATCCAGAGCATTCTGTGGAGAGGGTGTCACTTAGCATTCTTGAACTGTCAGCCCCAAGGCAAGAGGCCCATGTGACTGGGATCAGAGATGCCAGGAGAGCAGGGACCACTCTGTGAAGCACCAGGTGGATCAAAGTCTCCGACATTGCTCTGAATCAGGAGTCAGCCTCAACACACATATATCCAAGATGGTCATGAGAGCTCTGAGGACCTGTAAGGGAACTAGCCTGGTGCTGAAGTGGGCCATCCCTGCTCAGCTTCCCCTAAAAGCTCAGGATGGTCCCCTTCAAGTCAGCTTCTCCCATCTGAGAGATCTGGCCTTCACACCCAGCATCTGATAGAAAAAAAAAACAAAAAACAAACAAACAAAAAAAATGACTACTTATTACCAAAAACCAGGGCGGGGCAACCCGGTCAGCAGCATTCTTCCGTGGCCTCTGCATCAGCTCCTGCCTCCAGGTTCCTGCCCTGTGTGAGTTTCTGTCCTGACTGCCATTAAGGATGATTTGGAGGTGATGTGGAAGCAGAAGCCAAATAAACCCTTTCCTCCCCAAGTTGCTTTGGCCCTGGTGTTCCATCACAGCAATGGGAACCCTAACTAGGACCCAGGCCCTCACACGGTTACATCTGTACCCTAAGGTTGAGCAGGCATAGACTTAAAGAGCAATGTGAGACCCCTGACCCTCCTGTGACAGAGCACGGTCAGGGAATATGACCCAGTTCTCTTGGAATCTGGATCCCAGGGTCGCTCTCACGACAGCAGGGGCATCCTTTCTCTCCTTTACAAACATCGGGTAATGGACTGGCATGTGGTTCAGTGGTAGAACACTTTCTTAGCATGTACAAGGCCCTGGATTCAACTCCTAGCACCGCAACAAATAAAGAAATCCTGTAAGGGCAGCTCTGTCCGGAGCAGGCCCTATGAAGCCCCTGGGCCGGAGCCCGACATTCTCCTGACTTTGATGGGATGGGACTTGGGCCCACTTTTTCCTGGCCTTTCCAGGGAAGCAATGTCTGAGCTTTGCACCTTCCAGATGGAAGCGGCTCTCCTCATCTCTCCAGTCTTTGTATTCATCTTGTGCCCATCCCTTCTACCAGGGGCACTCCTGCCCCTTCTGGCACAGTCCCCACCCAGCAGCTGGGTTCCAAATCTGCATAGAATTGTCAGGAGCCAAGAGAGGGGTCTCGCAGACACTGGTGCCGCCCAGTGCCAGAAGGGAGACCCACCCGCCCCCATGGTACTGTTAGGTGGCCCTTCTGAGGGGACATCTGTCTCCTCCGCAACCTGCCCACTCCTCAGCTCCCTTCCGCCACCCTCCTCTCCTCACGGGCTTTATTTGAGCAGTCTGGCTGCCCTGTTAGAAAACCACTCATTAGGTAAACCGAAGCTGGACAGATGATGGGACCTGCCCACGATGAATTAGATACGTGCGTATCGGGGAGGAAATTGCTCAAACTTTTCAAAGACATGAAGAACTAGTTTCTCAGAGCCCATGCGTACATTTGTATCTGCCAGTCAGCCTAGGAGGAGAGCGTAGCTTTGACAAATAGTGCGTCCGTTAAGGAAGTAAATACAATGCCAAACTGCCCGGGTTTAGTTCCTTTTGTGGCCTCTTGTTAGGTGCACAGACATAGCTAATGTCCCGCTCTGTGTCGTGGTTGCGAAATGAAGATAATGATATCTTTTTTTTTTTTATTGCTAAGAAGACTAAATATATGAATACATAAGCAAAACTACTGAGGCAAGACCTGTTACATAGTTAGTGTTCTGTATGTCATAGGTGCTGTTCAAGATACCCAGCTCCTTCCTCTGAGCACAGCGCCTTTTGATAGTATTTTATGGCAAAAGAAACATGTTTATGTAGGCTGCAGCTTACCTCACTAGACACATGGGAGACAGGGTAAGCACCCGTGGGTGGGTTAGGAGGCTACAGTGCGCAATGCAGCCTGGAACATTTGGAGACAGAGTTTTTTTGTTTGTTTGTTTTTTGTTTTTGTTTTTTTTTAAAGACAGAATCCCATTGTAGCCCTGGCTGTTCTGAAACTCACTCTAGGCTGCGCTTGAACTTACATTGAGAGTCATCTGCCTCTGCCTAACGAGTGCTGGGATTAAAGGCGTGAGCCACCACACCTGATAAGACAGAGTTTTTTTCCCTCTCACCTGCCCCTAGCTTAGATGGATAGCCAAGGTGGCCGAGCTGCTGACCCTGAGCAGGTAGCATTTCTACTTCCTGACTCTTAGTAACAGCTAGTTAACAAGCAGCGTCCACCACTGGTGGACAGTAGAGTGCTGGGCCCTGGAGGGGTAGCTGTGAATAAGGTGGACACAGTTCCAGCTTTCGGGAAATTTAGCCTCTGGCTGGAGTAAAATGCAGATACGGCGAGCCTGCGATCCCTTCTAGAACGGGAAAGATAGTTGTCGACACTTGGGAGCCAGGCTCTAAACAGTTTGGCCGTGTCCAGGGAAATGACAGTGAAACAGGGGTCTGAAGGATGGTTCGAGGCCAGTGAGGTAGAGGGCTCAGGAAGATTCTAGAGAGAGAGGCACACTGGAGCTCGTGGGTAAGTATGGCCCCTTTTGGGTGAGCAGGAGCCTCACCCAGGAGAGGGTGGTGTCTGGGAGATCCGAGCCACACTTGGAAGACGATACAAACAGGACCCAGTGCAGAGACAGGGCGAGTGTGGAATGGCTGGGGCGGAAAAAGGATTTGCCTGGAGCAAAGACCCAGTTTTTACTAGGGCAAGAAGAAAGGGGGGGGGGGTAGGTAGATCAGTGCAGCTGGAAGAACTGAGGGCAGGACCTGGGGCGTCTGCTGATCAGTGAGGTGGACAAGGCAAGCTCTTGGTGCTGGGGTTTGAGGGAAGGGGGTGGGGGGAGTTGAAACTGCCTTACTGACCAAGCATCAGGAGGAAAGGGGGGAGTTGAAACTGCTGGACTGTCAGGGCATCAGGAAGCTTTGGGGCCAGCCTAGCTGGGGCTGGGGCCCGGATGCACAGGCCACCAAGTGTCACCCCTGCCCTGTGCTATGTGCATCGTGGGGCAGGGCCCCAGAAACTCAGAAGCCCACTGGGGGTGGGGGTGGCGGGGGATGGGGTGGTGGGGGTGGCTGGGGTGGCGGGAGGGGGTTCACCAGGAGGCTGCACAGCAGGCCAGCCTTGTTACCACAGCAACAGCCATGGAGCAGGCACTTGGCCCACACTGGAGGGAGGCATGGGCAGAAGGAAAGAGTGCCCCGTGAAGGGGAAAAGACACCGCAGGGCAGCTCCATCTTCGCCTTGCTTTGCTATCCTCCACTACAGGTCTGTCTTGTTATCCTGCCACACTTGCATTTTCTCATCTTGACTGTGACTATGGTGAGGAGTGAGTGGCCTTGGTGGGAAAGCGCCTTCCAAATGCAGGGGAAGCCCTCGGCAGGAGATGGCGGTTGGAAAGGGTGCCCAGGAGGCATCGGGCTGGTAGACAGCAGCTGTTGAGTTATTGTTGGGTGGTATGGAAGGGGAGCCATGGAAACACAAGTCTGTGATAACCACAGCCATAAACCACTGCCTCTGAGACTGGCCTTGGCGTTGGCAATGGACTCTGGCCAAAGTCACAGGGCCGCAGCTTCAAAAAAGGTTGGCCGTGGTGTAACCAGGGCGTGGCACTGCTTCTAATACCATCAGAGGGAAAGTGGAGATGGCCTGGTAGTCTTCTGCAAGGCCCAGGCTTTCTGAGGAAGAGGGTAGAGGGAGAATGTCCTTAACAAATAATAATAATAACAACAACAATAATAATAATCAAAGACAAGCAGAAGGCTGGTGCCCGTGTCAGGCCTGGAGACTTTAATGTCCAGCTGGTTGGAGTGGCTCTGTGACAGATGGACTCTGGCACCGATCAGGCCTTTGTGAATGACGTCAGAAGCTCTGCCAGATCCTGCTTCTGGCTGGTGAGGAGAAGGGCCCGACCTGCCCATCTATGGCCTCCTGCCTGGTTGAGGTGGTTCCTGACCACTGCTGCTCAGTCCACACAGCTGGCTACTGAGGGAGGGGAGGCTGCTGGGCTGGGCTAGCCCTTCTCCATTCCAGTGCCTTCTGGCCCTTGGTCATGGCAGTTCTAAGCTGTGGCATTCTGGGTAGGCCTCACACCTGGGAGGAATAAGTGCATTCTGAGAGTCCCGGTGCTGGTTTGGACTGCCCAGGGAGGACCTGAGGCTCAAGCCTCCCAGGGCATGGCCCTGCCCTCTGGGGATTCTCGCTTCAGTAGCTCGGTTGCTGCCACCTCTACTTCCTCTGGTTCCATCTGGCAGGCATCCGCCAGGGCCTGGCCTGTTGCCATGACAAAGTTAGCATCTGCTGCTAAGGAGTCTAGTCCTCCTTGAACCAGAGCCTGCAGGGAGGAAAAGGAGACTTGGGTGGGTCTTCCAAGAGAACTGACTTCTGGGGCCCTCCACGGTTGCGCCTACCCTCTCTCCATGACAGAATGTCGCCAGGTCACCCCTCGTTTGTGGCCTGCTGCTCTGTCCCAGCCCCACCTCACCTCCTGGATCAGGAAGGCAGTAGCTGGAGCTGTGCACCTGCCAGCTGAGTTCCTGGGAACGCTCTCCTCGAAGTTCCTGCTGTGGGGTGTTTCCAGAGACCTTGGCACGGAGCCCACACTCTCCTCCCGCACAGGAGGCTCTGCCTGGAGGAACTGTTCCAAACACACAGAAGCAAAGATTCCCCCCCAAAGAGATGCACTAGAGCCAACTGATATACCGGAGCCCACAGCTCATCCGAGGGAGTCTCAACCAAGACCTACAGCCTGGGGAGGATGCAGGAACACAGGATCCTTCTGTGATGGATGGACTGCTACCTACAAGGCCTTTCCTCTGCCAGAGCCCCACTTCTAACATCAGGCCAGGTGGCGTCTATTGGCACATCCTCCCAGGCCTTTGCCTTTGGTACCTGGCACGGGGAAGGAGGCACCTGGCCTCCAGGCATCTCTCTCTGGGTCATCAGTCCTTTCGATTTGTCCTCATGGGACTTGCTGTGAGGTCCTGTGGGCAAGGCAAGGTAAGGTCAGTGGGGCTGCTGACTCCTGGTGGGCTGAGTCATCAGAGCCTTTCTTGGCCAGCTTCGGAAGGTAGTCTAGAGGAGAGACACATGGTGAAGCCTAACCAGCTCCAGGTCAGGCAGAAGTGGCCTAGCTCTCCTTGCCCAGTGCCTTGTCCTTACGGTCTGGAAGAGGCCGAGGGCCAGACTCACCAGCAAGCTCTTCTTCAGTGTGGCTATGTGCATGCATGTTACAGTGTGTGGGAGGGCAGGGAAGTACCCCGATTGCTACTGCGCTCCAGCATTTTGGAGCCTCCCTCAGACTGGTAATAACGCGCTCCCTCCCAGGGCTCAGCTAGCGCCCATCCCATCATAAAGGTGCCAAGTGGCTCTCCCAGGCTCTAAGGAAAGAGGGCACCCTCACCACCACCCCCAGGAGAAGGCCCAGCTTCTTAGTCACCAAAGGGACTGACCAGAGCCCCTGCAGGGCTGACTGAAGGGTCCTTCTCTGGGAGCAGGTGTGTCTGCCTCTTCCAGGAACTCCCGTTCATAGCGGATGCTGGAATGGAAGCAGAGCAGGCTGGGACCCTTTCACTGAGGTACCAGTGAGCATCCTGGCAGACTGCAAGTGGCCTTCACTCCAGGGCTGATTCTGCCAGCGCTTGACTCTATCTGTCCTTGACTCTGGGGGAGCAAGCCAAACTCATGGCTGCCTCCACTCTTGCTCAATGCTCCCCTATCCTTCTCACATTCTGTATCACCTCAGCACTCTTAAGATGCTAATTCTCAACCCTGACTACACATGGGCTCACTTGGCAAGCTGTGAAGACCATTGTGTGTGACCCACCGTAGACACTGGCAGGTCTGAAAGCTCCCAGATATTTCTCCTGTGCAACTGAAACCGAGAATCACTCTGGGCCAGCCTATGGACCTCAGTAACTCTTCTGTATTTCCTAATTGGTCCTAATTGGTCTCAATCATACCACACAACACACACTCTGAAAACAGAGGCCAGGTCCGATGCTTCCGTGTGTCCACACTACCTAGCACCATGGTGACTGACCCAAAGACGTGGGTGGAGCATTCTGGGATGCACTCAAGAGGCCTCTCTGGATTGGAGTGAGGTGTGGGCAGGCCTGACCAGGGGAAGTAGCTGCTCAGTTGGTGCCTGCCCTGTCCTGCCCAAAGAGACCGCCACTCAGCTGGCCTGTCCCCGAGCAGACGCCCCGCTGAGAACCCAGTCCCTGTGTTAGGATGGCGAAGCGCCTCTGCCCCCACCTGGTTGTATTTTATGACATTTCCATCACAGCCTGGGATTAGTGCAATGGGAACTGCCCACATCCAGCAACTGACCTTATCACCCAGAATTTCCTACCGTCTGTGCGGCTGCTGGAGGCCCTTTATTAAACATTACTGTGTGACCAATACATTTCAGCGCCTCCCTACTGAGAACCACAGGAAGGCTGGCTCAGGTTTGCGGTCCACGCTGACAAGAGGCTGCCCCCTGCTGGCCACAGACGCCTCTTCAGTCCAGGTTTGCCTCTTGTGTTCGGGGGTGCAGAGTGGTCCCCAAGGGCACACAGAAAACAAAGGACAGTCTACACACTTCATGGTGCCTCCTTTCCACTCAAGCCTATCTCAGAATGCGTATACCCACAGTTGGAAGTTACCACTGTTACCTGGAAAACACTGGACTGTTTCCATGGTTGCTGTTGCCACAGGCAACATTGGCATTGGCATTGTTGGTATTGGCGCGAGCCAGAGGATGGGTGCCTGGGTTATGGGGGAAGTCCTCCAGGAAGACGGGTGACTCCAGTTCTTCCATCTCTATCTCAGCAAACTGGAGGGGTCTCTGGTTGGCCATGACAGGGGGCAGGGAGTTGGTCCTTTCCAGGAAGTTGTCCACTTGACCAAACAAGCCTCCAGTCCTCTAGAGGCAAGGGGGAGAGTGGGACTACTGAAAGCAGTGACTGGGTATGAGGATACGGAGCGCATGGGGGTTGGGAGTCGGCTGTCACCCGGGGGTGATGGTGCTAGGAGAAAGCAATGGCATTGGGAGATGAATCTGTAAGGCCAGAAGAAGATGGACTGAAGGGTGATCCTGGAACATGGTCGCCACCCTCAGCAAAGTCTAAGTTTGATGGACAGACAGGATGCGCCTAAGGAACCATACGGGTAGCACACCCATGAACACAAGGCACACTGAACTGGGAGTCTGCAGAACTGTGTTCCAGCTCCCCTCTAATCAGGTGATACGGGACATTGCATGTCATCTCTTTGGGACACCATTTTGTGAAAACCTAATAGAGTTTAATGGGGTGTCCAAGAAGAATCTTCAAGATCCAATGGGTCGCAACTCTCCACAGAAGAATCAGGAACTAGCCTGAGTAGAAACAGATCCTCAGGAGATGGAATTAGGTAAGAATTTGTGAATAATGTCAGAAAGGGTGTATCATATTTAATACTTTTGGGTCATAGATTCTGAGCCCCAAAAGATGTGGGTGGCAAGGTGTAGGTGGTATTCTCATCTCCTGTGCAGCCTGGCTTCTAGTCTCTCTCTCTCTCTCTCTCTCTCTCTCTCTCTCTCTCTCTCTCTCTCCCTCTTTAAAGATTTATTTATTTATTATTAATAAATATTAATAAAGATTTATTTATTTATTACGTATACAGTGTTCTGCCTGCATGTGTCCCTGCAGGCCAGAAGGGGGCACTAGATCTCATTACAGATGATTGTGAGCCACCATGTGGTTGCTGGGAATTGAACTCAGGACCTCTGGAAGAACAGCCAGTGCTCTTAACCGCTGAGCTATCTCTCCAGCCCCTAGTTCTTCTCTTTATTGCTACTTACTATGTCTGGCCCCTCAAAAGTGAGTCATGGCCCACACTCACCCGGAATATCCCCTCCTCCATGGCAGCCTCCACCATGGCTCTCTCCAGCTCCTCCTCTGCTGTCAGGTCTCCTGAGATGGCGCGGTGGATCTCAGGAGCTGCCTCTTCCTCTATGGTCCGCAATCCAGCCTAGGGATGGTGAAGGGACAGATGACCCACAGTTCAGGAGTGGAGACCAGAAATGTCTTCCCTGGCCCCGCCTGTTCTGAACCCCTGCAACCACAGCCCTTCTCAAACCTGTTCTCCATCCTGGGTCAATATCACAGGACTATGAGGCCCCTGTGGTCCTGCTGTGGCCTGGGTGAGATAGCCTGCATTCTGAAAAGTCTCTAAGGGTAGAGACTTTGTACCCCTCCCATCCAAGCCTCTCTTTATTGGTATGTGTTTTTTTGGTCAATGAAACTTCATATCATGGGAGGAGGTAGGATCTGTGGGTGGTATGTAGAGTGAGTAGAAAATTTCTTAATGGGTTTGGAGATTTAGCTCAGTGGTAGAGCGCTTGCCTAGCAAGCACAAGGCCCTGGGTTCGGTCCTCAGCTCCAGAAAAAAAAATTAATAAAGAAAAATGAAAAAAAAAAGAAACTTCATATCACAACTAATAGAACACATCAAAATGAGTGTCACCGGATAATTTCAAAGAGGACACAGTATCATGTCTGGGACATTCTTACCCAAAATGCACATTTTCTATCTAGTGTGAGGGAACATCAGACCAACCCAACCAGAGGGACAACGTGGCCTGTGTCCTCAAAAGGGCCAAAGGCCACATTAAGGAAAGACTGCCAAGTGATTCCAGAAAGCAAGATGCCAAGGCAAGATGGCGTGCATGCAAGGCGTATGATTCTGAGTTGGATACTTTTCCTGTAAAGGACATCATTAGGGCAGCAGGTAAAACTTGAAGGAGGTGAGGGGTAGAGTACATTTGTGTATCAACACTCACTTCCCAGTTTCAGTGGTTGCATTGTGGCTATGTGGGAGAATTATGTAGGGCAATGCCACGCTTTCTGGAAATTCACACTGAAGTATTCTGAGCTGATGGAGTGTCGTGTGAGAGTTATTCTCAAATGGCTCATAGAAAACATTGCAATTGTGTAAAGTATAAAGTTATTTAAAAACCACCATGGCAATTCAAATACATTATTGAACATATGGCCCAGATGTGTGTGCATTTTGTTTTTAAAGATTTATTTATTTTAACTTTATGCGTATGGGTGTTTTGCCTGTGTATTGTCTGTGCACATGTGTGTGTAATGCCCAAAGAGGCCAGAAGGGGGCATCAGATCTTCTGGAACTGGAGTTACAGGTGGTTGTGAGCTGTGTAGGTGCAGGGAACTGAACTTGGGTCCACCTTTGGAGCAGCAAGTTCTGTTAACCTCTGAGCCATCTCTCCAGTCCTACATGTCTACTTTGGAATTTTTGAATCATGGGCATTACAATGAACACAGAAAAAGCAGTCAAAAGCCCAATGAGATAAAACAAACAGTTCTAAACATTTCTTCTCAGACTCGGTGGAGCAGACCCCTGGTGGGGCAGGGTCTGCTTTCTTTGGAAACCACTGCTCTGACTAGAGGTTTCTCTTTTGAAGAAATCAGATTTTCTTTGGTCTAGTCACTGAGAGATGAGGAGCTCCCAGATCTATTTCTGAGGCCAAAACACCCTCCATCATGGTCAGAACTGAACTATCTTCTCTTATGTTTTTGGTTGTGAGCCTAGCCTTTTTTTGGGGGGGGGGGTTGAGACAGGGTTTCTCTGTGTAGCTTTGCACCTTTCCCAGAGCTCACTTGGTAGCACAGGCTGGCCTCGAACTCACAGAGATCCACCTGGCTCTGCCTCCTGAGTGCTGGGATTAAAGGCGTGCGCCACCACCGCCTGGCGAGCCTAGCCTTTAATGGCTGATCTATCCCTCCAGCCCGGAACTATCTTCTCATTCTGTTCATCCAGGTCCCTTCTCTTTGCTTCCATCTCTGATGGTTGATGACGGACCAGAGAAGAACTTAGTTCGGCAGGGATGTCCCTAGGAACCCACCTAGGCGGGCTTACCTGTATCTGAACCGTGTCCTTTTTGGGTCGATACCCATAATATTCCTCCTGGCGCTTCACGAACTTCCGGAAGTGTTCCTGGATGAGGAATGTGGCATAGAACTTCCCCACCGTCACCTCGTCATCTGTAGATGGCCAAAAGGGAGGTAGTGAAGGCCAGTGGGAGTCTCACTGGGATTCGGAAGGGAAAGCTGAGGGGCATTGGGCTCAGGTGCTCGGTCCATCCTGCTGAGGTGGTGAACGGGCACCTCCCGCCCTGAATGGATGCCCTGTTAGATGCATAGTCTCAGCCATCCTGTGTCTGCCCTAGACTCTGGTCTCCCCAGGCAGCACTCACCTCCTATTGGAGGGATGACTTGGTCCAGGAGCTTCATGCTGGTTCTTTTCCAGATCTTTTTGATGATGGCTCTCAGCTCCTCATTAGCTTGTTCGAAGTTGCCTGGGGCAGGGCATGAGAAAGGTAGGCGTGGCCCTGAAGTGGCCGAACTTGACCAGGTTTCCCCAGCTGCCTGCCGTTAGTTCTGCACTCTCTGGCTCAGTGTTCTTTTGGGGTAGCTGCTGTGCTCTGTCCTGACAATGGGATGGGGGCAGGGGGGCAGCAGCCCGGCTCCTGGGTGCTGGACTTTACTCCCCATAGGTCTTGGCTCACAATGGTCAGACTGGTTAATTTGGTAGGGCACCATTTCCCTTTCTCTCTGTCAAAACACCAAGTCTCTGCATACTCTAGTCTGTCCCACGGTCCCCAAGCAGCCCTCCTGCTACCCTGACTTGCTCCTTCCTGAATGCTGGCTTCCCTCTTCTTGTCTGCCCATAGCCGCCTCAGATAGGGGGATGCCCCCAAAGGCCCTGGAACCCTGCCTCAACCCTGCTTTTAACCCTGCTCCTCCCGTGTCTGTATTCCAGGTTTAGGGGCTTGAAGGTGTAGTGGAATCAAGTGTGGGCCCTCATGCCTGCCCAGGACTGAGTTCTCCCTCTGTCGAGCCTGGAACCACTCAGGGGGGACCCCAGCCCTGAGTGATCACCGTCATGCCTCAGGGCCTGACAGCAGAGCTGAGGAACCTGAGACAGAACCTTAGTGAGCTTGCCAGGCAGAGCAGCCTCAGACTCCCTGCAAGACCTGAAGGGCACGAGCAGTTGGTGACCGTGGCCTGGCTTCCCTCTGTCCACATTTCTGGGAATCTGTGTCAGAACCCACCCTCGAAGAGAAAGGGGCATCCATGAGCGGGCTCTCACCTTCTGTCTTGATCTTGAGGGCTGTGCGTACCAGGGCGAAGAGTGTGGCATTGAAGGTGACTGTACCGTCGCTGTTCAGGGGCATGTTCATACCCACCAGCCTCTGTGCACGGAGAGGGAGGACTCACCGATGTACTGGGACCAGGCCCAGCTCATCAGGTCATCCTCACCCGGGTGGCATGGGAAGGGATGGTTATAAGGGCTGCTGTGTGGGCTGACTAGGGTGCATCCATGAGACCTGAGGTCAGCAGCGAGGAACTTGGAAACCGCTGTAGAACCTGGAATGTCTACCATGGCCCGTGTGTTACAGGTTTGCACCCTAGGGTGGTGCTGCTGGGAGATGGTATAAACTGTAAAGGGTGGGCTGGGGGGCAGCTTTGGGTCACTGAGGAGCAGGGTTTCTTTTCTCTTTGGGTCTTGACCATGAGACGAGTGGGTTTGCTCCACCGTGGCTCTTACCATGGTATGTGGCACCAACCCCGCCAACCAGAGGCCTAAATGCAGTGAGTTTGCCTGGTCTATGGATTGGAATCCCCAAACTGGGAACTAAAACGGCCCCTTTCTCTCTCTCAGTTATTTGTTACGGTGGTGGTCATCTGACTGACGTAGTGATCCGGGAAATCACTGCTGTAAGATGCCTCCTCCTAGCAGGCTCTCTCTGGCCACCTAGCGCCACAGCACCTGTTGATTTGGATCCCCTGAGCCACAGTTGCTTCGCCTCGCAGATTACCTTACATGCTACCCTGTGTGGGCAGAACTTCCCGAAGCCCAGAGGGGGCTGGATCCTCCTCAGCAGGGTCACCACATCCAGGTGCTTGATTCTGCCCCTGCGGGAGGACACACAGACTGGTAGATCCAGGAACGTCACCCAGAGCACCCCTGCTCTCGACTCAGAGAGTGGAAAAGGAGGGAAGGAAGCCAGGGGGCCAGGAACATTTCCTGGTTTTAAAGCTCGTTTAAAAGGCCCGGGAGCCTAGTGTATTATTTTAAATACATTTTAGTAGTTCTTTGCAAATTTCATACAATGTGTTTCGGTCGTATTCATTCCTGCCTCTGCCTCCCTCGACTCTTCTCAGATGCCCCCCCCCCCCCAATAGCCTTTCAAAAGAAGAGAAGAGGTTTGGGTTCATGGGTGCCCACTACAGAATGGGGCTCTCCATTGTGGGCAGATACATGCTTTCTCGCAGGGAGCTATCCTCTAGTGCAGGGGATCTGGATTTCACTTCCTTCATGCTAAGGCCATCCTTAGGTTTTGGTCAAGCTGAAAGCGGGGGTGGGGTGGGGGGCGACTCTGGGGTTGTACTAATAAATCAAGGGAGTGGCAGCCCACTTCAGAGACCCCTCCAGAGCTGGGAACACAACTGCAGTGTGACCATGACCTCCAGAATAGGCCCCAAACAGAGCAACCAGGAAGGTCAGGTGAGTACATGCCCAAGGCCCTGGCAGTAATAGAGGGCTGCCCTAGGAGCGTTCATTTGGGATGTTTTATGGACTGCCTTGTCCTCAGAGCTGGCTGGGAAAGAAATGAGACATTTCTGTCTTGTTGGGAGCACAGAGGTCCTTGTGCTCCCAGATAAGCACTAAGAAACCAGGGATGTTAAGCACACAGGGCTGTCTTTTCAAAGAAAAAGATGTACAACCTGTTTTCTGCCCAGAAGGCTGGGAATGGAGGTGGCTGATAGCCTAGGTGACCCTTGTAGCATCTGTAGGGCCAGGCCAGACCTGGCACCTCCAAACTCCCACAATCAGGACTGAAGGTGACCAAGTCTAGATGACCTCTGTGCTATCTGTCTGATCTGCCCAGATCTCCCCCTAGACCTTTAAGATAGCACATGCAGCCTGTCTATAGACCCCATCTTCGTGGAAGAAGTGATGTGGACTTTGAGAAGAGGTTCGATGTAATTATGCTTTACTGTGCACACAGGATTGTGTTACACTAGGAAACTTTTTTTCCAAATTGTACTGTATTTAAATATGGCTAAAATAAACTGCCTGATGTCAGACTCTAAAGTTAGAACCAATACCAGCTACTGAGTCGTGTTGAACTGGATTTCCTTCTTGCCTCGCACAGATCGATACTCTGCTGGCCTCAGCATTTGCAGAGACCCCCACATTGTCTGTATCCTAGGTGCTGAGTACGCACACATACAAACACACACACACACACACACACACACACACACACACACACACACACGCCCATATGCATACTTGGGATTGAGCCCAGGGTCTCTCACATGACCAGCAAGCATCTATCACTGAGCTACATCCCAGCTCCCAGGCTCAAGTTAGTACTGTGGGGTAGTGATAGAAGCAAGTAAATTAAAAAAAAGTGTGTGTGTGTGTGTGTGTGTGTGTGTGTGTGTGTGTGTGTCTGTCTGTCTGTCTGTCTGTCTGCCTGTCTATGTGAGTGAATACTATGAGTGTTCAGGTACCCATGGAGGTCAGGAGAGAATGACTGATCTCTTGGAGCTAGAGTTACAGACCGTTGTGGGTCATCTGACATGGGTGCTAGGAACCAAACTTGGGTCCTCTGGAAGAACAGCCAGTGCTCCTAACCACTGAGCCATCTCTCCAGCACGCCCCCCTCAGTAGTCTTTAACGTTCCCTTTGGAAGTATTTTAGGGGACAGTTGCCAAGGACTCTGGACAGACTCGCCTTGAATTTTGGTGCCGTCACTTACTGTGGGACGCAGGACAACTTAATGTCTCTGCACCTCAGTGTGCTCATTTGTGAGACCACGGTGACCAGAGGACATGTGCCTTAGGTTGTCGGAAGAACTGGATGAGCCAATACATGTAGTATTTAAACCTGACAACTGGGACACATTTAGCAAACGTGATCTTACTACTTCTTCTATCAAGAGAAGTAAGAGAGAAGTGCCCTCCCCGCCAGGCTTTAAGGTGCAGGCAGATGGCCTGAGGAGCAGGCTAAGGCTAATGAGGACTCTAACTCAGACAGCCTGAGTGGGGCCTGGGACTCTGCATTGTAATCGATCTCCAATACAGCCGGTGAGCAGAGCCCAGAGTGAGCAGCCAGGCCTGGAGCGCCTGGTGAGGTACTGAGAGCCTCCTCACTCCCAAGTACTAAGTAGACAACTAGAAGCTTGGTGAGCATTTCCTTAGAAAGTCAGGGGGTTTCTCCTCAGAGGGAATCCCTTCCAACTCTGAGACATGCCGTGGAACCTTGGGTGGATTAAGGGAGAACAGATAGACTCCTGAGGGAATGCTAGGATGAAAGGGTGGGCAGTTTGATAAGCACCCAGCACGGCCCACAAAGACTCACTTAGCCTCCGGGTCATACTCGGCCCAGATGGCCTTGAACTCATCCAGGTGGTGAGGGCCCAGAATGGACCAGTCCCTTGTGAGGTAGTCAAAGTTGTCCATGATGACAGCCACGAAGAGGTTAATGATCTGCAAAAAGATACAGGTTCCCACAGCACAGGCAGGTGCGGCAGTGACTGGTGTCGGGGTGGGGGACAGGAGCAGACTAGGCATGGGCTTCTTCCTCCTGCCAGGCCTCCGGCACACTCCACATTCCACACGCAAGTGAGGCTGGACTTCCGTCCTTGCCCCGCATGGGCTCTGCCCAGGTGCTTGTGACCATTCGCTAAAACCAAGGTAGGGCACCTCTTGGGGAGCCATTCTGATTTCTGAGAGCTATTCTGCCTCTTCTGGCCTGGCCCATGGCCCTCTCGCCACGCCAGCCTTTTCCTGTCTACCCTGGGGGTCCTCTGAATCGCCAGGCTTGCTCACATACAGACTCCCTCCGTCAGAGCCAGGGCTGGGTCTTGTTCACGGTTCCTACCTCCTCACCTGTCTCTGTGCCTGGCAAATGTTAGACATCCAAAGGTTTGGGGGTGAATATTGGGAAGAAAAAGGAGCGCCCGTATGAGGGGGCCCAGGGGATGCCTTCCTCACAGACAGCGCTGCCACCCCCAAGTGACTTCATGCTGTTTCTGACCCGAACCAGGACCTCTTGACTCGTTTCCAGAGTGTCAGTTGTCTTTTAACTCAACATCTTTCTGTGCTGAGGAACAGTTAGGGTTAAATGTCTCCACTGGGAGCCTCTCCCTCTGGGAGCCTCTCCCTACTGGGAGCCAGCCTCATCACAGTCCTCTTGATTACAAACTGCACACGTGATGTGCATACTCTATAGAGTAAGCTCGCCGTGCACACAGTGAAAACATCTCACAGCCTGACTGGAGCAAGAAAGATCTCACAAAACACAGACACCCCAAAGGATCAGAATAACGGACTGTCTAACAGTTTCCAGGATCCCAGAGGTGTCCCCATGTAGGAGGTGATAGGCTCCACCCAACCTCACCCCTCAAATCAAAGCCCCGCCCTGGCTGGAGCCTGCTGACTCGGTTCTCACCAGGAAGGCGCAGAGCATGTAGAAGCTGATGAAGTAATAGTAGGCAAAGTTGGTACCACACGTGTACTCCTCGCCCGGGGCGTAGTCTGACTCTGGGTCACACAGCTTCCCGTAGCTGCAGGCCAGCAGGATCTCTTGCCAGGCTTCTCCTGTGGCACACCTGAGCAGGGGAGAGACGCTGTGCGTTGGCCTGTATACACGTGCTTGGTCCTGGGGAACGTCAGCCGGGAGGGGGGAACAGAACTAGGCTCCTCCCCAGGGTAGGATCCCCACAGGCTTGGTCACAGTGACCCCTCTTCTCGGCAGCCCCTCTGCTCCACCTTTATGCATGGTGAGAGTAGAGCTGAGCCACAGAAAAAACCCTTCTTGGAGTGGGGTGGCTTTTACACATGATGACCGTCACCGCACAAGTGAGTGTCACCGGTCAATGTCAAGGGTCACTGAGGCCTCAGCAATTTTCGAGAGGGACATTTGACCTCTGAACTCTCCTTTCGCAGGGCAAAATAGGCAGTGTTCCATTCAGGAGGAATTCAGTGCCAAATATCAATGCAAGGTTTTGTAACGGTGACAACTGGGTATTAAGCCAGGCAGGGGACTCCTCTAGCGCAGGGCCTGTATGGGTCTGGCACTGCTTGGAGGGGTGCAGAGGGGGACCCCTAGAGTGCAAAGGGGGACCCCTGGAGTGCAGAGGGGGGACCCCTGGAGTGCAGAGGGGGGACCCCTGGAGTGCAGAAGGGGGACCCCTAGAGTGCAGAGGGGGGACCCCTAGAGTGCAGAGGGGAACCCCTGGAGTGCAGAGGGAGGACCCCTGGAGTGCAGAGGGGGGACCCCTAGAGTGCAGAGGGGGACCCCTGGAGTACAGGGGGGAGCCCTGGAGTGCAGAGGGGGGACCCCTGGAGTGCAGAGGGGGACCCCTAGAGTGCAGAGGGGGGACCCCTGGAGTGCAGAGGGGGGCCCCTGGAGTGCAGAGGGGAACCCCAGCAACGCCAGCGACTCATGCCTGAAGAGCAGCAACACAGCTTGAGGGAAAGTCTGGAAGTTGTTGTTCCGGTTAATCTGTGTCCCGTCCACCATGGCGATCTTCCCGAACATCTGCAAAGCACAGAGAACCAGGATACAAGCAAGCACCTCTTCGTCTCTTCAGTCGTCTCCCGCCACGTCTGCGTGACCTGCTTCCTACCCTCACCCTTATTTCTCCCCGGTGCCTTTCACTTGGAACCGTGTCAGATCGGAAGCCGAACACACTGGATTCTTTCCTGGGTCCTGTAACGTTCTTCCTATCACACCAAACAAAAGGCACTTTCTCTACGGCAAGCACTAGATGAGTCAAGACGTGGGGAGGGGTTCTGGGCTAAGGCCTCCAGCTAAGGCTTTAGAGGCCAGGTCTGCTTCCTGAAGGGCACCGCATGCCAGGGTCTCTCCTGGGCTACACCCTGGCTCGTAACATGGAGCATCTGGGGTTCAATTCTACCTCCTCTCTCAGCTTGGAGCTGACCCCTCGGCTCCTGGGATGTGGGAGGCAGGGAAGTTCAGTATTCAGCTGCATGGTGGGTAGGTCTTTCTGGGTCCACAGACAAACCCTCCAGCTTAGCTAGGACCTCACCCTTTGGCCTGGGCCCACCCGCCTCTCACCTGCATGCCGATGACTGCGTAGATGAAGAAGAGCATGACAATGAGCAAGGCCACGTACGGCAGGGCCTGTGGGGGAGAGGACGCAGCATCAGCTAAGTGTTTCACCCGCCTGCTCCGAGGGCCACAGAACCACAGCCCCGGGTCCTGCAGCCTGCCCTCCCTTGGCTCACCAGGGACCTGCCTGGCTCTGGAACTCTGGGACCCCACCCTGGGCTAGGGGCATCCCTGGGTCAGTTTCCTGGATCCCTGGTCTTGGCCTGTTGGGCTGGGCACCCGCACCTGGAAGGACTTGATGAATGTCCACAGCAGGGTGCGCACACCCTCGGCCCGGCTCAGCAGCTTGATCAGTCTCATGACCCGGAACAGGCGGAAGAAGGCACTGGAGATGCGGGCGCTCTCATCTGGGTCCTGCGGGGCAGCAGCCCCAGAGGTCAGTCTGGGGCTGCCACTCCAGGGTAAGGGGCAGAGCAGGCAGGAAATGCAGTGCACGCACGCGCGGGTGGGTTTTTTTTTTTTTGTGGGTGGTGTGTGGTGTGTGTGTGTGTGTGTGTGTGTGTGTGTGTGTGTGTGTGTGTGTGATATTCATAGTGGGAGGATTCCAGTCCCACTTCACAGTCCCTATTGTCTCATAGCCTTGGACCATCCTGGGATGCAGGGCTCTGGGGCTGTGTATCTCAAGAGGGTTGACTGTAGGGTCCAAGCTATGTAGTAAGCCAGTGCTTGGGAGCAGAGCAGGGATTCTTTCTGGGTTGAGGCTGCAGCAAGGCCCACTGCTGGCGTCCTGTTCATCTCTCCCACTCCGTAAACCGGCACTAAGCTGAGTATCTGGTGGCCCGTAATGTCTTCAGAAGTGTCCAGTAGCTTTACCAAGCTGTTTGCCGGACACTCAGTGCGGTCACTCCCCCTTGACCCACCCTACTCTTGAGTGTTGTAAGTTGGGCAAGCTCCTGCCCTTGTACCAGCCTTAGGCCTGTTCCCTGTGTACCAATTTGGGCCCTGTTCTCTGTGCCCGCTAAACTATCATGGAGGTCCTGTGCCCTCATCTATAGAGAAGGTATGGGGAGAATCCTCGGCCCATTCCTCAGGGCTCTAAGGTAGCCACTACATCCATGCATATTCTACCACAGAGCCCCCCACCTCTACCCAAACCCCAACCCTCACTGGGCCTGCTCTAGGGAGAGGAACCCCATGCAATCCATGCAGCCAGCTCAGCATGCAAGCTGCAGGGCAGTGCGAACAGGCTCATGCGGCCTGAAAATTACAACGTTCCCGCAGCCTCCACCCAGGCAATACAGTCCCCCGCTGGAGGCCAGGAAAGTCTGTGGAGAAAAGAGACGAGGTGGAGGGGAGGGGAGGGGGAGAAAGGGGAGAGAAACACATGGGAGGGAGGTGAAGAGAGCTGTCAGAAAGGACAGACACGAGGAGAGTTAAAAGAGAGAAAAAGACAGGCAAGGGATGGAGACCCCACGTGGCTGCAGTTGGGGCAGAGAGTGGGTGGGAGCGAGGACAAAGCTCTAGGGAGTCGTGAGGCAAGAGGCCTGGGCAAGGGAGTAAGAGGGGAGGGGAGCCTGGACAGAGACAGGTCCCATCTCATCTTTGGGACGCATCTATGGGTGCCAAGGGCTTGGGTTCTCCCTGGGTCTGGGTTATGTGGTCCAGGGAACATCCTTGCTAAGGACATACTGGGAAACACATGCTCACAGTTATGAGGAGATTTCCCCCCATCCCCTGTAACCAGGGTTGATGCCCTCCCAGGGGTCCAGCTTCCAGGGGGTGGGGGACACTGGAGACCCCTCCTCCCACCAGGTGTCCCTCGGCTCAGGACTGGGACCAGGATCAAAGCTCGCATCTCAGTGGCCTGGCTCCTCGGTGGTTGGGTATATGGGAGTGGCTATCTTTTCCTTGGCCACATTTCATGAGATGCCCGTCTTGGGAGCCCTGGGTCAATGAAGGAAGCAATCATTGAGCTTCTGTGTGCCTGCAGGGAGATTGGTCCCAGCACTCGGCTCCCTGCACCACTGGTCTCAATCCTGGCTGCATGTCAGATTCATCTAGAGAGTTATACAGTATGTGTGCCACTGCTGGGACCCACCAGGCCAACGAAGCTAGGGACCATGGAACAGGCCTGGTTTCAGCGCACACCAGGAGAGTCACGTGTAGCCGGATGACAACCCTGTTCTTGTGTAGTCTGACCAGTAGCCACTTGCCATGAGTGGCCATTTGAATTACAATGAAAACCAAATGAAATTAGAAACTAGTTCCTCAGTGCCATCAGCTACATTTTCAGTGACCAGGAGGTAGGTGCATGTGAACAGGGCAGGGTGGGTGGGGCTGGCATTGCAATTCTGACAGAGAGGCAAGGCCCTTCCCTAGTTTGTATGTCAGGAACGGAAATCAGCCTTAACATGACCCAATCACATATTCATGGTAAGGGAAAATTTTTTCCACTTCTGAAAACCAAAGTATGACCATGACATCTTCCACAGCCAAGAGAAAGGTTTCTGGCACATGGGTCTCAGGCTTTGAGAAGTAACTGTTTGAATTGGAGCTGTTTATTCTGGCTGTTTTGAGTTCTGTCTTCAGGCTACTTGGGACAAGTATGGCTCTCGGGACACAGAACATGTTTTCTTGGCAAACAGCATGCATGAAAACACACAGCACATATACACTACACATTATTCTCTCTCCCCCCTCTCTCTCTCTGATTTTTCCCAGAGACCACCCCCTACCAGGCCTGAGCAGATGGAGCTGTCTGTCACCATTTGTGATGAGGTGACCAGGGTTCCCAGGATCCTCCCCTAGTACAACAGACAGTTGGTGTTGGCAGCCAAGTCCCCAGAAGGTGCCACTTTCCCTGGGGCTGGGCTTTTGGAGCCTCCGCCCAAGGCCCCTTCCCCACAGACTCAGGCTTTTTTCGGCTGGGCTCCCCTTTCAGGCATCTGCAGGGTTGATATCTGTCTTTCCCATCAACTTGGTGCTTTGGGCTAGGAGGTAGGAAGTTCACAAGGAGGCCCTGCCTATGATGAGTCTCCTGGCTCGAAGGAGCTATCACTTGGGTAGAATCTCGCTGCTCCCCAGCTGGAGTGACTTAGATAGATGAATATCCTCTCTTTCTCTTCCTCTTGGCTTCCTCTGCCTGTGCCTGGTTCCTGGGTGTGGTTCAGTGATGAGCCAAGAGGACACTGGTTTTTGCTTTCTGCTTCTGATCTTTGGATCGCTTCTTCCAGCCTCCTCTCACCTTTTGCTCAGCCTTCAAAATACACCCCAAGTTGACCACCTCTCACCACCCTACAGCCGAAACCCTTCTCTGCCCCCTGCCGTGTGGACTGCTGCATGCCCCTCCTGGCTGCTGTCCATGGGTCAGTCCTGGTCCCTCCCAGCACAAGCTCAACATGGCAGCCACAGTGATCCAGTCAGATCTCATGTCTGAGCATGTCTGCACCTTCCAAAGAGCTCTTCGCCATCTCAGAGATCTGACCACAGCTTGTTAGCTCTGTTCTGCCCCATTCCGGGTACAAGGGCCTTCTGCTAGCCTCTGTGTCCAGCAGGCACGCTCCTCCTACAGGCCCTTCACACATTCTCCTTTTGCTTTCCAACAGTGTCTGTCATAGAGACAAGGCTTACTCCTTTGCTCTATTCAGATCTCGCCTCCAATACGCTCTTAACACCACCCTCTCCTTCCCTTCCGTGCTCCATCCTTACCCACTTTGATTTATCACCATGCATTCTATCATGTGGTTGATTTATTGTCTGCTGCCCACTACAGTTTTCTTCCCTGCTGTGCCTCCAGCACCCATACAAGGCACATATAGGTATTCGGTAAGTGTTTAGTAAGTGGCATAACGGACTGACTCCTTAGAGAAGAGCCGCCTTTTCAGTCATTTAGATTAACATCTCAAAAGTGGAGCGCTCACCCTTCCATGACTTGATCAAAACCTTTAGTGCGTTCCTATAAAGTGAGTGGGCTCGTGAAGTTCACAGCCTCCCCAGCCTTGTCCGGCCCCCTTCTCCCCTCTGCATGTCCGTATGGACCTATTGAGACACCCCAGCATGTCTGACCTCTTCACATCCTCTCCCACATATCTCCAGAAGTTTCCCTGCCCTGGACATGTTATCCTCCTCAACTCCACTGCTACCTCCTACACCTCCCCCAACTCAGCCGCAGACAACCTCTGCTGGACACTGAGTTCTTTCTTTTCTTTTGGTTTTTCGAGACAGGGTTTCTCTGTGTAGCTTTGTGCCTTTCCTGGATCTCGCTCTGTAGACCACGCTGGCCTCGAACTCACAGAGATCTGCCTGGCTCTGCCTCCCGAGTGCTGGGATTAAAGGCGTGCGCCACCACCGCCCGGCTGACACTGAGTTCTTCATGTCTGCTGTGTTGGCATACTCGGATCCACCCGGTACCCAAGGCACCATTCTGCTCTGGAGGATACAACTCCTCGAAGGCAGAAGACTTGTCCTTCCACCGGTCTAACCCCTAGGGTGCCATGCTGCGCTTGCCATGGGTACCCCATAAACTCTGCGGACTGAACAGGAGCCCTGCCCCAGTGGGGGCTCTGCCCACCCCATACTCACATCGATCTCACTCAGGATGACATCAATGATGCTGCCGATGACGATCAGGAAGTCAAACACATTCCAGGGGTCTCCAAAATAGCCCTGGGAAGGAAGGCCATGGGAGAGCAGGGGCTGAGCTGTGGATGGAAGCAGCTCTGACCGCCAACAGGGGGTGGTGGGGTGGTGAGGGGGGCACCCATCAAGGTGCTGGGCAGGCCAGGGCTGCAGCATCCCAGCTCTTCTCTCTTTCTGACTTCTGATTTCTAATTCTCTTCCCCTAGAGCGTCAGTGGTAGGGGTTGTTGGCAGCTTAGTCTAGATGGGAATCTCTTTCGCCTCCAGAGTTCCACTTAAAACTCCTGCCAGAGGGCAGGCAGTGGTGGCGCAAGCCTTTAATCCTAGCACCCTGGAGGCAGAGCCAGGCGGATCTCTGTGAGTTCGAGGCCAGCCTGGTCTACAGAGCGAGTTCCAGGACAGGCTCCAAAGCTACACAGAGAAACCCTGTCTCAAAAAAACAAAACAACTCCTGCCAGAGCTCGATGGCACAGAACTGGATTGGATTGGAATGAGACTGTGGGAATGGATTCGAGAGCCAAAGAAACAAAGCAAGATCCCAGTTGGAGGCCTATGCTTCAGAAGCAGAAAGGGAGGCAGGGGATGGGAACGGATCCACAGATGCAGTACCCAGAATCTGTGAGCAGCCTGAGGACAGGAGCCTAGGCTGAAGGGCCCTCAGTAGAAGAAGACCCAAGTCTCTCGTCCCAGGCCACAGCCGTTCCTCTGTCCCCGTGGCTCAGTCACTCACCCTGGGCTTGAACGCGATGAGCTTGAGGACCATCTCCAGGGTGAAGATGATGGTGAAGGCCACGTTGAGAATGTCTGAGATGTGGTTCATCTGTTCCGACTGGTTGTAATGCTGAAGAGGCAACGGGGGAGATGCGGGCCAGACGTACCAGCTCCAGATGGCCATCCTCGATGCCTCCTCTCTGTGGGCAGCCCCGCCTGTCTGCCCTGGGGCCCACTTCTCACCTGTGTTTATCTCGTCAAGCTGGAAGACTAGTCATCCCCTGACTTCCACCAGATCTTAGGGATACCTCTCATGCCTATTCCACCCCATAATAGGCAGTGGTAAAGGATAGAGTGGGAGGTTCAACAGGCGCAAGGCCGACCAAGTATGGCTTGGGGCTGCAAGGCCAGATATGATTTACACATTGGTCCTGGGTGGCCAGAATTGGCAGTCTCCTAGGCAGGGCTCTGCATAGTCATTATAGAGGAGGACTAAAGAGAAGACCCCGTGCGTTCTGGGTTGACATCACCACTGTCTAGTGGACACAAAGCTGGCCAAGTTTCCTATATCCTATACCCCAGTGACGGGGATGAAGAGACCCTTCAGTTGACAGCCTTGGCTTCTGTGACCGCCTCTATGGTCCACCTGAGACTCTCGCTCTTTTTTGAAAAGCTGATGAAATTCCAACGTCTTCTATAGAACCTTCCAAGGTAGGCAAGAAGGGTCTGCTGATTGCCCTCCCCCTTAGTGGCATCGTCTACGGCCGCTGCCCGACTCAGCTCCCAGACACTATTACTTATATTCCTCTACATGACCAGGGTCTGTAGCTCAGTGAGTCCCCTCCCAGGTCTCCACGAACCTACAGTGCGTGGTCCTATCATCGTGTTCTTGTTTCAGTGTGAGATATTCCCCCACAGGCTTGTGTCTTTGAACACGTGGTCCCCAGACTGGGGTGCATTGGGAGGAAGTAGGTCACTGGGGTAGGCCTTGAGGTTTATAGCTAAGCCTTGCTTCCCACCCTGTCTCTGCTTCCCGGTCTGCGGAGAGGGAAGCAGCTGCCGAGAGTTCCCATCACCATGCAGCAGCCTTTCTTTCAGTCTGTACTGTAATCCCCTCCAGTCACGAGCCAAAGTCAACCTCTCACTCCTCGGGTGCTTCGTGTAAGGTGTTTGGTCACAGCTATGAGAAAAGCAACTAACATATATTAAGTATTTCTTGGGCTCCTAGGAGCAGGGAGTCTAGCTGTGAAGTTGTATTATAAAGGGCGTAAGAGACCAGATGCTTAATTAAATAGCAAGATATGATCGATGAAGGGGTGGCTTCTCTCCTAAGAGGGCTGCCTGTCTTGTGAATCCTAAGCCTATTTTTTCTTGAGGGTCAGAGCGCCTTGAGTTTCCGAACAACCCAGCCGTCCAGATTTGCAACAGTGAAGGGAAGACAGAGAACACGTGTTCTGCTTCCTGCGCATCCTCCTTGCCTGTAGCATTCATCTCCTGTTTGCGGAATTGCCATCCCATCTAGCTGGAGGCTGGGATCAGTTCACTCCTGTGTCCTGTGGCAGGTGCTCTAGAGACACCGACTGGGATGGACTGGGGACTTCTCGACATCCCTGCCCCGCCCAGGCCCTAGGTCCTGGTCAGTTCCCCATCTCCTTACCTGCATGCCTAAGCAGATAGTGTTGAGCATGATGAGGGCAAACATCAGGTATTCAAAGTAGGAGGAAGTGACGACGTACCACACCTGATACTGGTATGGGTTTTTGGGGATGTAACACCTCAGTGGGCGGGCCTTCAGGGCATACTGTACACATTGGCGCTAGAACACGATAAGAGAGCAGAGGTCAGCACCAAGAGGCCCATGCCTCCGTCTCTGTACCTATGACCATGGGGTTGTAGGAAGCCTGGTGTGCGGCGTAGGAACAGCTGTGGCCAGGCGCTGAGGAACTCGGAATGACTGGGCATCTTGAGTTCCCCTCGGGTGATCGTGACTCATTCTGATCACAGCTGCAGCCCAGTGCAGAGGTTCTGAAAGGCTTTCTCTCGGGACAACAGGCAAGTTCCAGAAGAAAGCCTTCCCCCCACACCAGTGCGAACTGATTCAGGTTGGAGGCAAATGGGGTCCACAGACCAGGGCTGGGCCCAGGTGGGGGCCTCTCTTCACGGGCCCGTGGGACGCTGCTGCCCATCTCCGGCAGGTGGCTCAGTACCTGGTTCTTGTCCAGCTCGCAGTTCTTATACTCCGTCTCCCCCTGTTCCTGGAAGGTGACGATGACGAAGCCCACGAAGATGTTCATCATGAAGAAGGCGATGAGGATGATGTAGATGATGAAGAAGATGGCCATCTCCACCCGGTTGTTGTAGATGGGGCCTGTGTCCTCCTCATTGGAGTCTATGGCCTTGTACAGTAGCCTTGGGGTAGGCAGAGAGGAGAGGGAGGATAAGTAGGGTTGGGATAATGAGGGTCAGATCCGGGCCAGGAAGGTGGGTGTTATCCCAGTGGCCACAGGAGCCAGAGCAACTTTCTGGATATGAGAGAGAAAGGCAGAACTGGTTTAGGGAGGGCTAGAACCCACCCTGTCACGGTCCTGCCACTCCATGGGGGCATCTTAACTACCCCCAGCCAACCATTAAGACTCCCCTGTGGGGAGAGAGGCATGCATTTGTGTGTGTGTGGGGGCGGATTGGGCAGATTTTGTCAGAGTCCTCTGGTCAGGCTGCGTCATGAGTCAGTGGGTTGGCTGAGCACAGCTACAGGCCGGCACGGTACAGTGGGGGCATCTCGTCTCTTGGTACTACCCTAACTGTGCCCATCGTGGACCCAGACCCCAAGCCTTACTCACTGAGGCCAGCCCTCGAAGGTGGAGACTGTGAAGAGTGACATCATGGCCGAGAGCACGTTGTCGAAGTGGAAGTCATTGTGCATCCACTGGCGGGGACGCAGCTCTATCTGGGTGGGGTCTCCGTCCTTGTAGATGTAGTAGTAGCCCCTGACACAGGGAGGCCCAGGGAGGCCCCAGTCACTCCACAGCGTGGCTGGGGTACCTCAGCCACACCCACGTCCCCTGGGCCCTGGGCCGTGAGTGAGCCAGAGCAGTGGGACAGAGAGGAAGGACACTGTTGGGCATCCCCTCCCCACGGCTACCGGCGCCCCGGGGCTTCTGTAAAGTTGGCACCCCAATGCCCATCCCGAAGGACACCGTGTACCTCACGTCAGCCTCCCGTTCCCCTCAGCTGGCAGAGCCTCGAGTACCTGCACTCCTTCTCCGTCATCTTGGATAGGTCATTGCAGCTGTAGAACTTGCCCTGCATCCAGGAGGGGAAAAGACGGACGGGGACACGGTCATAAAATCAGGGCAGGGAAGCAGGCCCTGTGGGTGCTTGGTTCGCGGGAGAAGGGAAGGCAAGCTGCCTGGAAGGAGGAGGCTTCTCCTCTCGTACTCTGAGGGCAAGGCCGTCATTACCCATTTTCCCCCGCTCCCCAACGGCCTCCCACCCAGCCTTGCAGCCGCCTTAGATGAGCATCTGTGGAATGGCCAAGGTCGGACCTGAGGATGTAAGTACACCCAGCCCAGCTCCTTTGACAGTGGCGGCCTCTGAGTCCCCCATCTTTCTCCCTCTGAAGAAGTCTCCCTCACAGTCCACACCGTACAAGAGGAAGGACTTGCGCCCCCCCCCCCACACTTCTTCTGCCTATGGACAGCACAAGGCCGCTAAGGGAGCAAGAGCCAGACAGATGGACGGACCCGCCCAGGAGGGCTCTGAGAAATTTAAATTTGTCCTCAGAGTTAGATAGGGGTCCCAGCACATCTCGGACAAGGCCTGGCCTCCCCCAAACTGACTTCAGCAAGAGCACATTCTTCTTTTGTCTTTATCACGTGCTGAACACCTGCAAAAGGTTTGGTTTGAGCAACGAGTTGAACAAAGAGTTAAGACGAAGTTAGGTTTGAAATCCAGGAATTCTGGTCCGGCTCCTTGGAAGGCCCTGAGGGAGGAAAGCCCGGTTGCCCCGCCTCCTTCCAGGACTCTGTCATTTCCTCAGGGCACTCTTTCTCTGAGGTTGCCAGAGCAGAGGGTGGAGGTGAAGTAAGAGATCTGGAGGAGAAGCAGAAACTGGAACCTCGCTGGTGCTGAGCAAGGTTCTGGGTACTGGAAAGCAGCAACTGCGTAATTTTGTGCAGAGAGATATGCCGAGCTCTCTGCATCATGTGGAGTGTATGTGACATGCGTCAAGAGTAAAATGTGATGTAAAAGGCCAGTTGTACCAGAAGTGATTCCAGCTGCTGGGTGGGCAGACCCCGAGGGCTCTGGATGAAACTAGAGCACAGATGTGGCGTGCTGGAGGGTTATTGCTCTCACATAGAGAGAACGTAAGAGCCAAAGAAAAGGTGGATCCTCATGGGTTGCTTCAGGACATGTGTTGGTGGGCTCCTGCATGCCAGGCCTGGACTAGGTGCCTGGGTAAGAGCTATGTGACACACAGACTCTCCCCTTGGGGATTCTAGGGTCACAGGAGGAGACTGTGGGGAAAGTGGGCATCCCTTTGCTGGGTGATAGGATGTAAGCATTTTGGTTCCTCCAGGGCAGTGGCCAACAGGACCTCTCCTCCTTAGCGACCTTGAGAGGCCAGATACTGACCACTTTCCTCAAAGCTTGTATCGTGTCCTCAAGAAGGAGCGTGGATTTGCCTTTGAGTCCCTCAACCCTAGCCAAGGCCCTGGCCCATCTACGGAGAAAGTGATTCTTACATGTTGGTTGAATGAATAATAGTGAGATGACATGTCTTAAGGCTGCCCGAGGTTACATAATCAGGAACTGGGTCATGATGGGAAGTAGCACACTCTACTGGAGTCAGAGGCATCTAGAAACCGAAGTTCTGTGGGAGGACGTTCCTCGAGAGAAACTGAGAGCCGTGTTCTCCCAGGGAAGCGTCAGTAGGGTAAGGTCAACTGCAGATGAGACTCAAAGACAGCCTCTGTAGAGGCTCCTGGGTGGTGTGGACGATGCCGGAGGCCTCTGTAGAGGCTCCTGGGTGGTGTGGACGATGCCAGACACCCCAGCCAGGACCATGGATTGCAGAGCCTGGCTGCAGCAATGAAGGTGGCTGGGCTGGGATGCTGTAGAGAGCCCTGACAGTGGGTGGAGGCTGGAAAGTTGGTGAGAGGAAAGATAACTGGGCCTGTGGGTAACAGTAGTCATGACGACGGCAAGGGTGCCTAGAGAACCGGAGGCTAGCCGCCGACATCGGCTGGCACACAGGCTCTGGGTGTTTCCTAATTTTGACACCATAGGTTCAAGGTCATTCGCTTTCACAATTTGGGGTCCTCTTGCTTGAGAAGAAATGGCTGGCTTTTGTCCCATCCTCCAAGTTGGCCAGAGAAGGGCTGCTGGGCCAGGCAGGGTCTCACCTTGAAAAGCTGGACTCCGATGCAGGCAAATATGAACTGCAGGAGGGTGGTGACCAGGACGATGTTCCCGATGGTGCGGATGGCGACAAACACGCACTGTACCACGTGCTAGAAAGGTGGGGGGGGGGAGTTGGTGGGCACCGGGCCTGCTGCCCCGCTGCACCCCACCATCCTGCCCTCGGAACCCTGGGAATTCAAGACTCCGCCTCCTAGTACCGCCAGGCCCACGGGGGCGGGGCCTCGCTCACCTTCAACCCTTTGGCTCTGTTGATAGCTCGGAGGGGCCGCAGCACCCTCAAAACTCTCAGGATCTTCACCACAGAGATGGCGCTGGACCTGCCGGGAGCAAGCTGCTGTGGGGCCTGGAGGGGTGTGCTGCAGCCAGGAGCTTTTCACCTCCTACCTGGAGCTTTCCACATGGGCACGTGCGCGGCCTCCCGACCACCCACCCCCACCCCTCCCCGATGCCACAGTCTCAAGGACAAGGCTCTGAGCATTTAGCATTGCCACTTCAGCCCAGCTGGGGACTACCCCAAGGGTGTTCCTAACTACAGCCCTAAGCCACCCTCCTATTTCAGCCAGGAACCCAGGCATGTACAGGGCTGGGACTCCTGCTCTGAGGCGCAGGCACAGAGCACAGAGCACCCAGGCCCTGGGACTGGGCCCCGCCCCTGCTTACTCGAGGCCCATAGAAATGAGCGACACCGCCACCACCAGCAGGTCCAGGATGTTGAAGTAGTTTCGGCAAAAGGAGCCTTTGTGCAGGAAGGCTCCGTAGGTGGTCATCTGGAGAGAGAGGCAACATCTGGAGCCAGCAGCTGGAGGAGCAGGCCTGCCCCTCCTAGAGAAGGGTTTCCCACCACAGTCTGCTCGGGAAGGTGCCCGCCTTATCAGGGAGTGTCATGTTATCGACTCCCCCTGTCATCTGCCTCAGATAAACCCTGGGTACTTCCAGAGCACCTGTGCCAGTCTCTGCCCTCAGGGGGGAGATGTCTTTCCTTCATGTGCCTTGGCTTCTCCTCCTTCACCGGAGGGGGGAGCCTGGCTGGCCTTGCTCCTGGGACTCACACTCACTACTTCATATTCACTCCCTCGATGGTGTAGCTTGGTTTCAAACTCTGATTCTAACACCCCACTTCTGAAGTCCTCCTTGAGCTCTGGGCAGCTGCCTTCTCCCTCTGCCCAATTGTCAGTGGTGGAAGCTCTGAAGAGGGAGCTCTCCTCCCTCTGCTCCACTGTCAATGGTGGAGGTGCTGAAAAGGGAGCACTCCTCCCCCTGCTCCTCTGTCAGTGGTGGAGGTGCTGAAAAGGGAGCACTCCTCCCCCTGCTCCACTGTCAGTGGTGGAAGCTCTGAAGAGGGAGCACTCCTCCCTCTGCTCCTCTGTCAATGGTGGA